CAATGAACTCGCTGAGCCTCCGCGAAAAGTCGAGCCCCGCTGCGGTCATGGTGTCAGCAACGGACCGAGCCAAAGAAGGCCAAGAAGAGTCCAGGGCGAATGGTAACCTGGGCTGAGGTGAGCTGTCATGGAGGCAATCGAGGGAAACTTGGCCTGCCGCTTGCTGCCGCTGCTGAGCGGCATAGCGCTGCTCTCCAGCCTGGCCCTGCCGCTGCGGGCGGGAGCCGCCTCTGATGCTTCATCCCCAGCTGCAGCAGTCTCCTCGCTTCCATCCTGCAGCGGGTCCAGGTCCTCCACCTCGTCGCAGTGGCCCGAGCGTGTCAACCAAATGGGTCGATCGCCTGCTCATCGCAATAAGTTACCGACACACACAGAGAGAGAGAGAGAATAACATGCCTGTGTGAATGGCCATTAGGAAGCCGACGATCTTTTGGGCGATCTTGCCGTAGATTCGATTGCAGATGACCTTGGACTGGAGGTTGATGAGCTTGATGTAGGACAGCTGCTCGTCGTCCTCGACCGTCTCGTAGACGGCCTCGTAATTACTGATGCGCGCTCTCAGGTCCTGTCACAACGACGCACACGCACGTGAGCCGCAACCCAGTTCAGAACGCCCACCAGAGATCAGAGAGTGTGGCACCGGTAGTGGTGAACCATACCTTGACGGCCTCTTCCTCGGGCATGTTGCGGTAGTCAGGCGAGTTGCGGATCTTCTGCAGAAAATTGGACTCGAGGACCTGTCTGTCGTCGCAAATGCTCTGTGGAGAGGGTGGCGGTTGTGTGAGCGACGTCGCAGTGAACGCTCACAAGGTGTGAGCGCGAACGAACCTCGATGAATATGACGTTGATCTTTCGGCTGTGCGCTCTGCACCGCTCGAGCACACCGCGCCGTCGCTCCTTGGTTGTGTTTGTTGCATCGAATACCGCCACATCTCCTTCGCTATCTGTACACGCGCAAGCGATTGTATGCGGCGTGTGCGATGATGCGTGTGCGATGGTGCGTGTGCGTGAGTGGTGTGAGGCACGGTCGTTCACTCAAAAACAAACAAGCAAACAAACAAACATATCACACGCTCGCAGCACGCAGGGGGTGAATGAAACCGAGCCACTGGCACAGTTCCTGGAGGACGGTGAAGGCAAGCTCGTCCCTCAGCGCGCGTGCGCGTGCGTTGGCATGGCTGAAGAACTCGCTGTCGTGTCGCATTCCGCTCTTGGCCGTCGATGACGCTCCATCGCCGCCGCCATCTGCTCCCGTCGCAGCCGCTTCGGGCGAGGAGTCTGCAGCCGGTGACGACGACGACGCAAGACGGCGGAAGGCGCCCACGTTGAAGAGACGCGCGCGGCGTCCGGTCCAGTTGAGGTAGTTGACGAGCTTGTGCGCGATGTAGCTCTTACCGCGCGCCGGCAGGCCGACCAGCACCAGCACCAGCTTCTCGGTGCGGCCGTCGGCCTTGCGCCTGTAGACGTGGTCCCGCGGCCACCGCTGCTGCTGCTGCAGTTGCGGCTGCTGCTGGTGCTGATGGTGGCCGAGCCTGTGGGCCGACGGGGAGTGCGAGCGGGCCAGCACCGACGAGGCCTCTGTGACGACGCGCGTGGGGATCGGAGAACGAGCTGCGGTTGGGGAGTGGGGTGGTACGGCGACTGCGGTGCCCGGGCACGGGTAGGGGAAGGCGAAGCAGGGCGACTCAGGGGGGCTGCAGGGGCTCCTCGTGTGCGGCAGTGCAGCCCGGCCTGGGGCTGTGCGTGGCGGTGTGCCCACTGGGCACAGGCGGGCTCGCCGCCGGTGGTGGGGTGTTGTCCATCTTTTGGAGCAAATAAATCGAGAATCAGAAGCAGGTCGATGCAAGTGCCCAGTGGCGGCACCTGAGGTAAGAAGAGAATGTGGGATAGACGCGTGACGGCCAGCCTGAGGCTTCGCTCGAAATTTCCTTAATATTTGCAAACGTCATTCAGCCCTCTTAAGAGGTGCTGACGTCATCCTCAAAGAAAACACAGAGCACCCAACAAACATCGAATCAGAAGAGAAATTAACCCCAATCAAAAGGAGGATGTGGGCAATCCCGTTGTGGGCGTACGCCTTGGTGGTGGTGCTTTCGCTGGGTGTGATTGTGGGCCTGCTGGGTTTGGTCTTCAAGCTGGCGAAGCCCTCCGAAGATGAGAATCGCCAGCAGGGTGCTCCTCGCGCCCCTACCGGCAAGGCCAAACGCGTACGCCTTGCACCTCCCCTCTTCAACATTTTCTCATCCATTTCAATTTAAAGCATCATTGTGCAATTCGCCCACGGCCGTACTGACGTGGACGATCTGTAGCAGGAGAAGAGGCAGGAGAAGGCAGCAAAGCAGAAGGTGTCCGACGATGAGGCGGAAAAGGACGAGGAGGAGGAAGAGGAAGAGGAGGCACGACCCCAACGCAGGGGCGGTCTCGCCCGCATGCAGGTCAGGCGCAGGGGCAAGCCTGCAGGTTCGTTTGCGCCCGCTACGCCCTCTTACGCGCGTGCCTTGTTCTACTACTCAGCGTGTCACCATGA